TATTTAAAGAAATTAGTCTGGGAGATCTTATTTTATCCAATTGCTAACACATCAGTTGTAGTCCAATTTTATTCAGATCACATTTGACATTTAGAACATAAATCTTTATACTTGATATACATGTCTGGAAAAGTTGTAACATTAGTGTTTGACTGGAAAATAATCTCTCATGTCAGATTTATTTTATCAGTATCTATGGTGTAAAGAGCTGTAACATTTCAGTGGAGTACATTTCCCAAACATTTTAATTAATTTTCAAACAGATTATTGGCTCTGATGGAGAAACAATATATTTCTTAGAAAAAGTACTTTTAGAATGTACAATGTGCATGTAGATTATAATCTTAAATATACTATAGTTTTGACAGTGAATTGTCTTAATTTAGAACAATTAGAATTTTAGGACTTTGTGATTGATCTGAGTACTTCCAACAAGAAAATGGTACTAGGTATACTATAGTAATGGAGGGAAATAATTTAAGAACAAGGCTGTTAAATATGGCCTCATACAAGCCTCATGTAAGACAAGAGATTTATGGTGTAGACACTTATCAGAATAAGAAAAAGAAAGTAAAATTAATGAGAGAGATATTTTAGGACAGATGTTGACAGAAGTACCTCATAAGATATAAGTTGATATCTACAGTGATGTAGTGTGATTCTAACAGTTAAGTATAAATAAAACTAGTGCACATAAGTTTAAACAATATACATTATGCTCATTTATTTTCGCTATCAAGTTTTGGTGAATTAGTAATAATTTCAAGAGATTGACTATTTATTCAATGTCTTGAAATATATTACTAATTCATAATGATGATTGAAAAATGTTTAAGATAAGATAAATTTTAAAAAAGACTGCCCAATCTTAAAAAAAAAATGAACATTACCGAAACATTCCCAATGATATTTATAGACTTGACCCTGGATTATGTGGATTACCTTTGCATTCATTCATTCAGGGTGGATGATATGATAATGTTATTCTGTAAATTCAGTATTTCAAATACATTATATATATTGATGATAGACTATGATTATAACAGTATCTTTAAATGATCAGCATTAAGAATAATTAAATGGTAGGTAAATGAGGGTGAAATTTTTGAACAGATGATTAAATATAGATAGTAGTATCTAGAGAGATAATAAGGATTGGAATGTGATAATTGGGAGAAAAATCTACCTGCATTTATTGTATAGCACCATTCTCATGTGGGTGATATTCAATCTACCTTAACAAATGTTGTACCATAGTAAAACATATTCAGCTTTAACCTTCATACTGGATTGTTAAAATTATTTTGTAAAATGACACCTATTTTGTCCTTAACACTTACTGAAAATTGAAAAAAAAAATTAAATAAAAATCTGGGAAAAAAGTGATCCCTCGGAAGCATCGAAAATAGCAGAGTACATAATTGCAGACTCGGTTTGATTGAGTCTGTACATAAGTGATAATGACAAAGTGCAACATCCCTCACGCCCCTAGCACCGGCTTGGTCAATTACTCAATTTTCAACAGTTAAATGTGCTGTTATCAATGATCATGAAGGACCAGAAAAATATAACAACACTGAAGTGAAGTACGGGGCAATTTTTTACGTTGCCACACAGGACTTGGCAACTTGATTTTGTTTGTCAATTTTTGTTTGTAAACAAGGAATATTAACCATACAGGTTTATTTGTCAGATATTTTATCATACATTTTATTTGAGCCACGTCATGACAAAACCAACATAGTGGGTTTGTGACCAGCATGGATCCAGACCAGCCTGCACATCCGCGCAGTCTGATCAAGATCCATGCTGTTCGCTATCAGTTTCTCTACTTGTAATAGGGTTGGTAGGCGAACAGCATGGATCCTGATCAGACAGCACGGATGCGCAGGCTGGTCTGGATCCATGCTGGTCGCAAACCCATTATGTTGGTTTTGTCATGACACGGCTCATTTGATATTATAATTTTCCAGGTATAAAATGTCAATATGGAGTCAAAGAAAAGTGTCAGATTTATGGTTATCAATAGACTGACCACCTTTGCACTAACTGACTGCCACACTTTGATCTTGTTGTCTATTTGTGGATAATTAAAATATCTGCATTTGACTTGTGTTCTTTACAAAAAAATGAAAGCACAGAGATGGTGTGTGTGTGCTGTTACATCCTTGAATGCCAAAAACAGAAGATTGTCAGCCGAAAGTTATAAAATAACATATTGATTTGACATATATATATTGCTCTGTGAAATATTATGAAAGTATTATTAGGTTAAGGTTTCGTGGTCATATTTACATGAAGTATGTTGCAGCCTCTGTTATATAAATTGGTTCATAATGGAAGGACATGAGTACTGGTAATACCAAACAGAATCATGTTGATAGTATTTTAGTATCAAATGTGACCAAAAAAACCACCTAAGAAAGAATTATAAATAGATGTTGTTAGGTGTGGGATATGTGGGTCAAATTATCATATCGGGTATCTGTATATGGCAGAACAAAATATTATGAGCCGCGTCATGACAAAACCAACATAGTGGGTTTGCGACCAGCATGGATCCAGACCAGCCTGGGCATCCGCGCAGTCTGATCAGGATTCATGCTGTTCGTTATCAGTTTCTCTACTTGTAATAGGGTTGGTAAGCGAACAGCATGGATCCTGATCAGACTGCGCGGATGCGCAGGCTGGTCTGGATCCATGCTGGTCGCAAACCCATTATGTTGGTTTTGTCGTGACGCGGCTCATATTATTCATCATATAAATTATCATACTGAATCACTTAGAACATTCTAACAACATTTTGTTTTTCAAGAATTTACACTTTGAAACAGTTCACAATATTTTATACTTTTGTCAGGTTTCATTCACATTAATACTGGCTGTTGTCATAATAATATTAATATGATACATGATGTTTCCCTGCAGCAAACCCCTGGGAAGAGTCAACATCATGTCACATGGCAGTATTTAGTGATAATTTCATAAGAATTCTACCTTTAATTTCTACATTAACTCTGCAGGACTGGTGCAAAATAATAACATAAATGTGTCCTTACTCTGCCAGGAAAGTAACATGAAACTATTTACATAGAATTCCACTTGACATAACAACTATTAGTATGACAGAATCTGAGTAGCAAATAGTTTTCATTGCCCACTAAAAACTGTTTGGCTTCTTGAACTGTTGAAGACCAGTGCATAAAAATGTCAAGAAAATCTATTTTTATGATGGGTCATTTGTTGAAATGCTGATGTAACTTAGTACTGATAGATCGTGTTTCCTCTCAAATGACATGTATGAACAACCAGGAGTAATTTGAACCTAATTTTCACTGTTTGAAATGCTGTGATAAATCAGAATTATTAGCTTTATTGTTTTGTGTTGTTGTTTTGGTATTCACAAGAGAAAATTGCATCTTCTCTATCTTGTTTCTGTAAAGAGAATGATTTTAACTGATTTAACTATTTTAGTTTTACTTTTCAAAACAAAATAAGTGGAGCTATTTTAATGACACTCTGACTATTAGGATATGGCATCATGCATAATGGACAGATGATCCTATTTTTTTTTTTGTGATAATATTATGTTATGCCCTTTTTGATTTAAATGTTTTGCCCTGATGAAAATTTTTGAGGAAGTTATCAAGCAAGCTAACATAACATCGCTTGTTCTTCTCAGGTGCCCAATTGCACCTGAAATAATGCAGAGAGGGGCACCTGAGGTCTTTCTTTACCATTAAATCTGGAAAGTAGCCATAGGACCTTTGCAGCGTTGGTGCTTAAAAAAAGTAAAACCCAACCTCCAAATAAATTATTATATATCATTATAAAATAGAAGAACAGGGATTTGATTTCAAAAATCTTTAATTTACAAATATTCCCGAGAGCCACAATAATGTTATATGAAGCTGAAAATTTCAAGAACAATAATGTATCAAGCGTGTATATATTATTATATAATGCCAGTTACTTTTATCCTGCGACTGTCTTATCTAGTATATCAATAGTTGTCCATTATAGGATCAAGTTAGGTGAATATATATGCCATTTGCCAGCTTTCATTATTGCTAGCAGATGAGGAAAAACAAAATACAAGATAAAATACATTATAATGGTGCTATGAATAATTCCTTTTCTTACTTACGGGAAATTAGCATTATCAATAAACAAATTATATTAAATTGTGAAGAACACACCTTATACATTAAAGCCATTAGTGTTAATGATGGAATTATCTGTAAAAATATCATAATTATCATTAGTATATAGAAACTTGCTACTGCTATTGTAAAGTTTTATAAACTGAAACATTGTAATACTGTTATAATCGGACTGCGGGACTTGTTACAGTGTAGAGTAAAAGCGCTAGACCATATAATTGTTATGTGGATTAAAACTTGAGAGAGTGATGGTGAAACATAATAATCGTGACTGACCGAAAGTTGCTATGTGTTTAAGAAACATTGACATTATTCAGTTACAAGACAATGTTAACATGTATATATATATATGTTTTAATATGTAAAATTTGCGAAAAATCTTGAAGTTTGTAAAGATTTTTAGAACTGGAGATATTCATTGTTTGAACAAGGATTTTAGTTGGATTTAATAAATAAATGACTTTATTCAGCTAGGGTTTTTACTTTATTAAATTCAGTTTAGGTTCATTCAAGTCTGGAAAAAAGAAAATTATTTAGTTATTATTGGAAGAGAAAAATATCAAATAAATCATTGATAGAAGTGATCTGACATAAAAATGTGTCATTTTTAGTATTAGAAATTAAAATTTATTTTGCAGTTAGATATTACTTTAAGGAAAGAAAATGCAGAGTAAAATTTCAAATTAATTAAACAGACAACAGCCATTGCACAAATTTAAGGAAATAAAATACAAATAATAGATAGAAAATGTTATAAAATGATATAAAGTTTCTTTTAAAAAAAAAAATTGATGAAATTATTAAAGAATCATGTATGCTATTTAGAGAATGTTATATGATGTCTTTGAAGGAACATGGATTAATGGAAAATTAATAGAAGTTTATGGGAAAATTTTGGTGTAATTTATCAACTCAGTAAGAGCAGAAGTTTCAATGTTTCAGAAACTAAAGCATGCTATTGATTAATAAGAAACACTCTGCAGTTTCATATAGTCTATGGATATCTCAGTTCCAATGGACTTTTTCTCCATCTTTTTCATATTCATTTGGAAGAAATTATTTGTATAATTTTTTTTCATCTATCCATTTTCAAATACTGAATCACTTAAGAGTTTGTCAGTTGTAATTATAGAGATTTTTAATTGAATTTTATGCAGATTAAAGCTTGATTTGCTTCAAATGTCAAGCATTCTGAAAATCTTGTAAGAAGACTTAAAGACTGCTTTTCTTTTAAAAGATTTTCGGTTAATTTTATGAGGGGTTTGTCTGGAATTTTCATTTTGTGTGTCATGTAATTTGCAGTGTATAGAGTCAGAATTTCATCATGATTCAGACTTAAGGGTGCAGTAGTGTTCTGCACTTCAATCACGAGGAGGGTCGTTACCTATTATTGAATTGTAACTGATTAATGTACCTTATACCTGTTCTTAGATGAGAATGGAATAATGTGCACTAGAACTATTGACTAAGTTTATTGGAAATAAGATTTAAACAAAGGAATGATAAGATTATTCATTAATATTTAAAAGATAAAAAAACAACAAAAAAAACAAGTGTTTTTATTGGAATCAAAGTTTACTATTTATTTTCCTAGATGAAGTAAGAAGTATTTTAGTTTACAAGGATTTAAGTTTTAATTAAAATTAATGTTTTATTGGACTTTTTGTGAGAGAAAATAACAATTTAATTAATTGGAGATTTCTCTTTAGACTGTCAGTAGATTGAAGTAAGAAATTCAGCAGGATTTATAATAATTGAAAGAGTGGATTTTTATATGGATATATAATTGTATTAAACAGTTACACATTGTGAAAAATGGATGAATTTGACATAGATGCTGAGTATGAAAAGTACTGTAAGTATTTAAGGATTTTTTTACATGGATACTGTTAAAGACTTTTTTTAGTTTTGCATATAAGAAAATGTACAAATTTGATTAATTTAATTTGTTTCCCATGGTTTTAATTTTAAGAAAGTTTTGATTAAACCAGTTTAAAGATTTAGTCTAGAAAATTGAATTTATTCACTGTTGTAAAAGATAATTTTTAGAATGAGAAATGAATGTTTTAATGGGTTTAACAGTGTATGGCTGCATGCTGTAAAGGAAAGGAAGTAGTAGTAAGTCATGGTGGATGTTTAAGGGGTATGGTATTTATGCAAAACTGTTGTAAATTTCATTAGGTTTTGTATAAGATGCCGTAGTTTTGCACAGAATGTTCATGTTATGGTTTCAATTTTGCTTCTGGAACAGATTTTATCAAATTCAAAGACAAAAAATTGTATGTGATATGCCTTAGATAAAGTATATAATAAAGTGTGTAAATAGACAGAAAGGCTTGACGAAAACTTTTTTATGTTTTAAATGTTTTTAACATGTCACTTCAGTGTTCCTATTTAACAGATCAAACGCTCTTATATCCCATCAGACTCTGATATATCCCATCAGACTCTTTTATATCCCATCAGACTTTCTTTATAGTAGTTTACCTTCCGGATCATGTCAGTAAGCCAGGGCACACTGCAGTTAAGCTACTGCTTCATTCCTAAGCAGGCTGTCAAGCAGTTTACCAGTACTAGTTGCCTTCACTTTCCCAAGAAACTGATAACTTCTGCACATGCCAGAGCAGAGGTACAGTGTGATACATGCTGGCGCAAAGATAGATACAAGTAACTGTAGAAAGGATTTCATGATCAATCACTGCACTGTCTGGGGATTGAACTTGGATGGCCCAATTTAAAGTTCAATGCTTTACCTATTGAGCTAAACAGATGATTAATCCCATCACACTCACTTATATCTGTTCAGACTCTCTTATATCCCTTCAGACACTCTTATATCCCTTCAGACACTATTATATCCCTTCAGACTCTCATATTTCCCTTCAGACTCTCTTATATCCGTTCAGACTCTCTTATAACCCTTCAGACTCTCTTATATCCCTTCAGACTCTCATATATCCGTTCAGACTCTCTTATAACCCTTCAGACTCTCATATATCCCTTCAGACTCTCTTATTTCCCTTCAGACTCTCATATATCCTTCAGACTCTCATATATCCTTCAGACTCTCATATATCCGTTCAGACTCTCATATTCCCTTCAGACTCTCATATATCCGTTCAGACTCTCTTATATCCCTTCAGACTCTCATATATCCGTTTCAGACTCTCATATATCCCTTCAGACTCTCATATATCCCTTCAGACTCTCATATATCCCTTCAGACTCTCTTATTTCCCTTCAGACTCTCATATATCCCTTCAGACTCTCATATATCCCTTCAGACTCTCATATATCCCTTCAGACTCTCTTATTCCCTTCAGACTCTCATATATATATATCTCTTCAGACTCTCATATATCCCTTCAGACTCTCCTATATATCCCTTCAGACTCTCTTATTTCCCTTCAGACACTCTTATATATCCCTTCAGACTCTCATATATCCCTTCAGACTCTCATATATCCCATCAGACTCTCATATTCCCTTCAGACTCATATATCCCTTCAGACTCTCTTATATCCCTTCAGACTCTCATATATCTCTTCAGACTCTCATATATCCCTTTAGACTCTCATATATCCGTTCAGACTCTCTTATTTCCCTTCAGACTCTCATATATCCGTTCAGACTCTCTTATATCCCTTCAGACTCTCATATTTCCCATCAGACTCTCATATATCCCTTCAGACTCTCTTATATCCCTTGAGACTCTCCTATATCCCTTCAGACTCTCTTATTTCCCTTCAGACACTCATATATCCCTTCAGACACTCATATATCCCTTCAGACTCTTTTATAACCCTTCAGACTCTCTTATTTCCCTTCAGACACTCATATATCCCTTCAGACACTCATATATCCCTTCAGACTCTCATATATACCTTCAGACACTCATATATCCCTTCAGACTCTCATATATCCCTTCAGACTCTTTTATATCCCATTAATTTCTTATATCCAACCAGACTCTCTTATATTCCAACAAAATGTAATGTTTTAATTAATACTTTTTGATTCTTATATACTCTTTAAGTTGCAAAATTTCGAAATTTCTGCAACTAATAGAGAAAAGAAATTATTCTAATGGGAGTCTCTTTTCAATCAATAATCATTAATGTCTGCAAATTGAGCTGAAAATATTATAAATATTCCATTGCAACTTATTACATTTGATTTATGATCAAGCACAACAGGTTTATTGTGAGGATGTTATAAAATTTCATTGACAATCATTATGCTGGCAGGGAATGTTAAAGAGGAGTTCTTAATGATGACTGAGACAAAAATGTAACAGTTGTTTCAGATGATAGCAGAGTATGTGTTACAAAAGTTATATGAGATAGGATTTGATGTACAATATAATTGTGATGTATTGTACAACATGTTTATATACCAGAGGCAAAGTTTTGAGTGCTTAACAGAACAATTGCTTTGAGCAAAGCTATAAAATTAAAGCTGTAAAGATATTCTAGTTTAATTAGTATATAATCAAGATTGCCAGTTTTAATTATCTTCTCAGCACAAAAAAGTATATTTATGTTTTACCTAAGTATATTTATTTATTGTCATAAATACTGTTGTAGTAGAGACTTCCAGAATGAGATTCAGACTTATTTGACAGTCCCTTATAAAATTGTATATGCTGACGCAACAAGTGTGTCAAAGCTAAACATCAAAAGTGTTCCAAATCAAGTTTCAAATCAAGCTTCTGCTATGTTAATTTTAGTTCTTACATGAACAACTATGTCAGAATTCAAGGTCAATGCTGTATTAATGTTATTTAAAACGATTGCTAATAAATGATAAAGGTTTAGGTTTAAAAAATTTGAACAGATAGCTTCAGAATGTATTTCACTTGTGGAGAACAATTTGTGGTCTCATTTCCACACCATGCACATCCTTTTAATCAGAGTCTCCCTGAAATTCTTCTTTCCTCAAAAATATTTTGGTATCTATAGTTTAGGTGTTATATTTATATCCATAAATGCAATGGTTCCATCTTGAGACAATATTTGACAATGTGTAAGTCAGAAGAATAGGTGATACATCACTCTTATTAATGTTTTCTTATCTATATTTATAGCAAGGAGATATTACAGACATTGAGAAAATGTAAATGTTGCCTTGTATATCATTTCACAAAAATATATTCCATAGTAAATAGACTGGTAGTGCAATATGATAAATAACATCTGAGGATCATCAAAATTAATTAAAAATGGAGACCAGTCTCTGATTGAGTGTGTTTTCTTTTTTTGTTTATTTTTAAACCAGATTCAATTAAAGCCATTTTTTCTGTCTGAGAACTTTGGCATCTTACCTGCTGTTGAGGAAAATATTTCTTTACTAGATCTCAAGTTATGAAAGATTTTTCAGATTTATATGCAGAAATCAACATTTCTAATATGCATAAAGAACAAAAAATGTTTAAAGTGACATTTTACACTCCAAGATAATATAACAAGTAAAAAAACAACAACAACATTATGATTTGCCATAATTCCTTTCAATTTTATATTTTATTTTGCATGAATTATAAATAATTTGCATGGCCCAAGAAAATTTCTTTTCTATAAGTTCAGTTTATAAAAGGACAGTCTTTTTATCCTTGCCCGCACTGGTCACTCTGCAGTCAATAAATATTTTTAAATTTTCTCTAAAATGATAAAATCATTGTTCCTTCGAAATTGATATTTAAAATATTTATCATTGTAAGTGTTAAAGCAATATAACAAGTAGACCAGTCACCCTAGTTTTTTACCATGAATGTATATAGTACAGACACTTTTCTCTTAGATTGACGGGAGTCTAGATGATACTGAATATTATATAAAAGTAGTTAATTATTTTGCCTCACAGCAGTACAGCAAAATGATATTCTGTGAATGAAATTATTTCTTCTTGATGAGGAAATTGGTCGAGGCAATAGCACTGTCTGAATGAGGGATTGAAAATTACTGTCACACTGAGATATTGATTGTAGAAAAACTGTAAGGTCAGTACAGTATACTGGACCTTAAGTAAATCGTTAATAATTTTTGTTTACCTTAAATGTTTATATAGATTAAAAAGTCAGATATTTCTGTTCACATTGAATTATTTGCATACCTATCAAGGTTTGACACTACATGACCATCATTTATTTTCTAAAAAGCTAGTGGCAATGATAATTCAAATTGGTATATTACACTGGGTTTTATTTGTCCTTAAAATTTTTCTGAGATGGTTCATTTTAAATTTGACGCTGTCATTTTTGGTTTTATCTCATACAACAAAAATGTAAAGTATTTTATGAACTTATAATTGAGGCAGCCCATAATGCATTTGAGACAGTCACTATGATCCACAGACCACTGCCAGTGTCATCAATGTTTAACTAACCCTGTGTCACAGTCAAGGCAGGCTGACACATACTGTTAGTTGCTCATGAAGAAACTTTGATGTTGATGTCCCTTAAGCTCAACACAAAATTCAAAATCAAAGGACAAAGTCATGTGATAAATTCATTTATCACATACATACCCCTGCCTCTTTTGTGGACAAACATTATGCATAAAAGAGGCACTAAATGTTTACTATAAATGCGTCACAATAAATGTGAATCTTTTTTGCTGTGAACAGTTTCTATTATATTGGATATATGATAGATAAAATATTACATTTATGTAGCTTCATTACTAACTTTATTAAATTTGTTGACTGAAATAAAATATACATTCACTATGCTCACTATAGGCTTTCTTTTATAATATGATTTTATTCAACTTGGTCAATAAATTCAGAATCGAGCCTACACTCATTCAATATCCTCTATTTATTACATATAGTCACAAGTATAATTATACTGAATAAAATAACTTTATAACAAGTTTAGAATAAATGTTCATAATGATTTATAAGGCAAAGTCCCAGACTGGCATTGCAACTTACAGAAAGAATGGTTTTTGGGAATCAAAGTGTTATGATTGTTCAAGTTATGAATTTAGTTCTAAATTTGAAGATCAGTCTAAAAATAAGTCTTGCTATTTGTTTGATTTAAAAAAAAATCACTGTCAAGTAATAGGATATTGAAGACTGGTTTTCTTTTTAGCTCGACTATTCGATAAGAATAAGTAGAGCTATTGCAGTCACCCGAGCGTCGGCGTCGGCGTAACCACTTATGTTAAAGTTTTTGTAATAGTTCAAATATTTTCAAAGTCCATAGACATATGGCTTTGAAACTTTGCACACTTGTTCACCATCATGACCCCAACATGTAAACAGGAGAAGGTAACTCTATCAAGCATTTTGACAGAATTATGCCCCTTTTTCGACTTAGAATTTACGTTAAAGTTTTTGTAATAGTTCAAATATTTTCAAAGTCCATAGACATATGGCTTTGAAACTTTGCACACTTGTTCACCATCATGACCCCAACCTGTAAACAGGAGAAGGTAACTCTATCAAGCATTTTGACAGAATTATGCCCCTTTTTCGACTTAGAATTTACGTTAAAGTTTTTGTAATAGTTCAAATATTTTCAAAGTCCATTGACATATGGCTTTGAAACTTTGCACACTTGTTCACCATCATGACCCCAACCTGTAGACAAGAGGAGGTAACTCTATCAAGCATTTTGACAGAATTATGCCCCTTTTTCGACTTAGAATTTATGTTAAAGTTTTTGTAATAGTTCAAATATTTTCAAAGTCCATTGACATATGGCTTTGAAACTTTGCACACTTGTTCAACATCATGACCCCAACCTGTAAACAGGAGAAGGTAACTATATCAAGCATTTTGACAGAATTATGCCCCTTTTTCGACTTAGAATTTACGTTAAAGTTTTTGTAATAGTTCAAATATTTTCAAAGTCCATTGACATATGGCTTTGAAACTTTGCACACTTGTTCACCATCATGACCCCAACCTGTAAACAGGAGGAGGTAACTGTATCAAGCATTTTTTTTACTATCAAGCACTAAGAATAGTCGAGCGTTGCTGTCCTACCGACAGCTCTTGTTTATTATATTGTATTTTTTTATAACCTTTAATACAAGATTAAAAGTGTGTGAAGAATGCAGAGATGTTGAGTGTATAGATGTATGATACTGTTTATTAAATCTTGATACATGATAAGATTTTTCTCCTGGAAATCCACCTGCCTGTCTTATCCCTGCCTTCTGAATGTTAGAATAATTGTTTTACTTTTACAACTTGTTATAAAACAGGTATACAGAGTAGGACAAGGTACAACATATATAAAACACAACACACAAAAAATACCCAGATTGATTTGTCAATCTTACTGATTATATGATTATGTGGTAACCTAAAACCTGTTGAATTTATGTAATGGGTTTCCTTTCCTTTGAATCTGGAACAGTCCATTAGAACTTGAAGGGATTTTAATGTAGAAAATTTAAAAATTTGAGCTTCCAAGAATATAGAGCCAGGTCCGACTGGACGGTTGTGCTTGCTGACATGGCTCTATACAAGTGGTAAAGGCTATAGTCAGACCAAACAGAGTAAGAGATAGATAAAAGGGTTATTTAATTAGCATGCAGTTATGCTTCCAATAAGCAATTATAGCTCTAAAATTGTTCGTTTGATCTGAAGTTTCATATTAAATTTTTTTACGAATATTTCCGGTAAAAAATAATAAAAAGAGCAGCATAAGTGTTAAATCATTAAAATTGATATTTTACATTAACACTTAAAAAACCTTACTACAAAATATAATATCTTCTCCATTTTCTTCCATTTTAAAAAGATGGTTTATAAATATTTTAAATTTATAAAACAAGAAAAATGTCCTCTTAAAGTGAGTTGGCATAATTAGGGATTCAAGCACTGTTGCCAGCTAGAATGACAAGACATGTAATTAGTCTACAATCAGCCTGTGTGGGATGAAACCATGTTTTATGTTGACAGATTTTGCCTCATTATAATAAGATAAATGTAAGTAGTTTATGACTGATAATTATCAACATATTAATCTGTTTGTTATATCATTGCAGTGGCTTCAGAGCCTGGTGCTGGATTCGACTCCAAAGGTCTTGGCCTGCGGGCACAGAAGAAGTTACTCGGAAAAATGTCGAGCAAGAAAATTGCGAAGGTGTTTATTGATGATACTACGGCGAGAGTGCTGGATAATGCGTACCGAATCTTAAAAGATTACATGCCGGCTAAAAAGGATGCTGATAAAATCCTCAAGTATGTGATCAAAACAGTCGTCAAAATAGGTATTTTGTACCGCAACGATCAATTTAATGCAGATGAGTTAAAAATTGCGGAGTCTTTCAAACAAAAGTTTCATTCAGTGGCAATGACAGTGGTGAGTTTTTACACAGTTGACTTCACATATGATAAGAACTTTTTGGCCCATTCTGTAGAAGAATGCCGTGAACTATTGCAACAGTTAGTAAAACGCCATCTTCAGGACAAATCAAAATCACGAATTGATATTATATTTGAGACATTTAATGATCCAACTTTAATGGATATCATCTTCACAGTAGATGGGAAATATAAGGACAACATGGACAAAATAACAACAGACATGAGCACACTTATGGACGAGGGCAACCTGTGAACAGCAACGGAATTCTGAATACAAAAACAACAATACCAGTGAAACGGATTTTGTTAATGATTAAGAATATTGTTAAATAGACATAAAATTGGTTTTGTATCAAAGTAGAAGCTAAATTGGTGAATTACTAACTTATAGGGATTTTTCCCAAAGTGTTAACAAAAAGAGAATTGTTAAATATTTGAAAAATATTTTTCGTTCAAGTGAAATAAAATGCTAAGTAAGCTGTAATGAATAAGTCTGCTTAATAACTGAATTTTTGTGTTAGAAATGAAATTATGGTATCAGATCAGACAGTTTTTTCATTGGTAGCATAGAAGAGGAAAATATCTTTGAGGACAAGACGTAAAATGAATTTGCTCAAAATAAAAAAAACCTACATGGCCTTTATAGAAATTGGATACCTAAGCTGGTTTAGGGCTTATCATATTTTGGCTGTGACGTCAACATCATTATGTCATACTGTTGTAGTTTTTTCAACCTAGTATTTTTATACTTTTAAAAGATGATGAACTATTTTGAAGAATAAAATGTTTTAGTGTTTGTACAGGCCAAGAATTAAGAATAAACTAGTAAAGATGCATTAATTGACAAGTTGTAAGTTCTTTGGATGAGACTGATTTTAACGCATAGCTAAAGAAGCAGGGACACTAATTTTACATGAAATCAAGAACATTTTTGTACATTCTGTGCTTGACTTTTTTTATTCACTTTCATTTCTGTTTTGATATATTTAAAAATGAAAATGTGCTGCAATTATCACTTGCATTTAAATTACAAGTAATTGTGTCTGGTAATCAAGAGTAAATAACACAACTGGGACAGTTTGATCATATAATAGTCTGATTCCACAGCATATATTTGAAAGTTATCCAATAATTAACAGGTAACCTTGAGACTTTGATTGTTCGTTTATGTGCATAATTAAACAAACAACAATAGATCTGAAATATCCTGCAGGTGTTTCTATAACACAATGCATCTGTTTATTAAAATGTAAACATTGTTTTTTTATGTTTATATCCTTTGTACAGATCCTATAATTCTAGGTAATTGGATTCATCTAGAGCTTAAAGATCCAAACTGAAATTGAAGTCGTCTATTTTTTAATTTTCCTGTTTAAAGTTAGACTGATATAGAAATCAGTCATAGTTCATTGCATATGTTTATATGTTACTCACATAGAACTTTCAAATCAAAATGGCAGGATGTACGGAAGAACTGTTTATTAATCTGCTCTTAGATCTTTTATATTTATATTGTAAACAATGTGATCTGGTACAGTCTTCCTGTAATTTATTCTTTAATTAGATTATCTAAACATAATTATACATGGAATTATTGAATGACTTGCAACTGGTGAAATGTTTTTATTAAAATATATAAACATAGTTACTTATTTCAAGATGAAAAGTAAATCATCATTTTATTCCTGTTTGTTTGATTAACTGGTTCGTAAATCTTTTCGGAAGACCGCTTGATTGAAAAATGGAATACCAGTATGTGGATTGACCATACATAAAAGTGGAAGAAACTGCCTTTACATTATTTGTGAACTATGCATACATTCCTAGCAATATATATAAAGACTATGTATTTTAATGTGTTTATTACATTAATATCTTTATAAAACCATGTATATATTTATCAATGAATATACAAAATGTACAAGTAAATTTACATGATATGTGAAGTGTATTAGACACTTCATTTGTACAAATATTAAAGAAACTCCACTGAGGTCCAAAAGCCTAAAAAACAAAAAAATTTGAATTTCTTACATAGCTCAGCTGGGCGCTTAAAGGGATACTCAGGCAAAATAATGGCAAAAATATAAAAATGATTTTCTGTACTCAAATCACCCTAAAATGACATTTCTTAAAGTCCTAACATGAATTTCTGTATAAATTCTATATATCTTGGATTTGAAGTTTAAATATATCTATATATGTTGAACGAAATTTTGACGCGAACAGAATCACAGAATAGTTTAAAAACAAGTCATGCGATTTGAACAAACCCTGGAAGTTACAATAACAAATATTGTGGATATTGTATGATTGAAACAAGTCTAAGTAATTATTTGACATGTTCTTTAACGTTTACATAGTTATTGTGAAATCTTAACGCTCTAACCTGACCCACGTGGGTCAAGTTAGGAAACAACCATTCTGTTCTTTATAAGTAGAAAAGTTTCGTTCCTGTGACTGCTAAGTGTATTCATTTTGAGGACATTTACAGAATAATGAATGAAAATTTAAAAAACTAAGAAATGAAAATTTTGCCTAGGTCAGCTGGGCACTTAATACAGAAAGATGTGCAAAAGATAATAAAGAAATACACTCGGAGATAAATAATATTGAAAATCATATTTTTGTGCTACTCTCAGGTCGATTTAAGTGAAAAGCTGCTTTGCAACGCTTTTCAATTTTTGGTAGTTTTTCACTGTTACAATAATTATTCTAGAAAAAACAGAGTGAATGATTTAAACACAAGTTATTGGTCTAGACCTACATCAAAGGGAACATATATCTTAAATTTTTCGTGACCCGTCATGTCAAAAAAACACAGTGGAGTTCCTTTAATCAATAGTCACTTTGATAATGTTTAAGGTAAGATTTAGGAAGGATGTTTGTTGATATCTTATTACTATGTAATACATAAAAGGAAAAATATTGATACATATTTAGGTCATAATTATGTGTTCTTATATTTTATCCTGTTACAGTCATCTCAAACCCAGTCTGATTGTCTTTGGTAAAACTTTTTATAGATAGATATTGTGTTTTTACAAATATGTTGTATGCTGGTTTTGTATACTAGACTCTTTAATTAAAGGACTTTGTGCTTATCATTATTTTTAGAGTGATTTTTTTTTAGCTCGACTTTTCTATGAAAAGGGGAGCTATCCTACTCGCCCCGGCGTCGGCGTCGGCGTCGGCGTCACACCTTGGTTAAGTTTTTCGTACCACCCCACTTTATTTCAGAAGTATTACAAGTATGGCTTTGAAACTTACCATACTTGTTCACCATCATAACCTCCATCTACAGACAAGAGTACATAACTCTGTCAAGGTTTTTGACAGAATTATGGCCCTTTTTTGACTTAGAAAGTGTATTGAGCTTGGTTAAGTTTTTTTGTACCACCTCACTTTATTTCAAAACCATTGGAGGTATTGCTTTGAAAACTGACCATACTTGTTTACCATCACGACCTTCATCAACAGACAAGAGGACATAACTCTGTCAAGGTTTTTGACAGAATTATGCCCCTTTTTGACTTAGAAAATACATTGAATATGGGTAAAATCCACTTATTGCCTTAACCCTTTGAGATATTGCTTTGAAACTTTTAATGCTATTTCACATCATTACCCCCATCTGTACGCAAGAGAAGGTAACTCTGTCAAGGATTTGTTTTAAAAATTAAGGCCTTTTATCGACTTAGAATCTTGGTTAAGTTTTTAGTACCAGTCCACTTTTTGACTGAACTGTTTGAGATATTAATTTGAAAGTTGGAATACTTGTTTACAATCATGATTCCCAAACATGTCCAGGAGAAGGTAATTCTGTCAAAGATTTTATTTGAATTATGGCCCTTAACTGTCAATGTTTTGTATTACTGCAAAAACTTTTTTTATTGGCAAGCAATAAAAAAGTCGAGCGCGCTGTCTTACGGACAGCTCTTGTTGTCATATGTGTTATTATAAACTGTAAGTGTACACTCATATAATATCTTCACCTTAGTGCAGTAATGGAGTAAGTTCTTCTAAATTTAATAGGAGTTAATCAGTTATTGCACTAAGGTGACAAATTCATTGTATAGTTTACATAATATACTGAAAAACCACTCTTATGTGTATAAGTCATCAAAAAATGAGTAATACTTGCATACAAAGAATATATTCTATAAACATTATACAAATTACAACATCTAGGGTCCACTTAAGCTTATGATCAAACCTCTCAAAGTTGTATCATGTATTCCTGTGGGTTTTATTTCCTGTATATTGTTTTTGATGTCTTTTTTTTTTAGGTCATTTTGTTTTTGAGGTCTTTTGACAAACAGGTTATGCTGCCACTATTTTGAGTTTATATTTTATTTCAAAACTGATGTAAAAGTCTTTTCATATTAAAACTTACTGTCATAATTTATTTATTAAGGATATAAAAAAAAATGCACCAACTGAAAAGTCAAGGTAAAATGAGGAAGCATTTTTTATCATATACATGTATGGTAATTTATTAAAATTTATGTAAATGATATTACATTTACAGTTATTTCTAGAAATTCTCCCAGTTTTTCTGAATAACCTACATGCATATATATTTTTTTCTTTAATGAAGGCATACAATTACAATGAAAGTGAGTCTTACAAGAGTTGTCTTTTCTTAGTTATTCTTCTTTTTTTTAAATCAATATTGAAGTGACTGAACAAACAGTTGAAGGTCTAATTTTGATATGAAATTATATTCCTGTTTCATGTATTAGTTCTTATTTACATAAAATATTTGCATTATGGTATTTATAGGGTACTTTACAAATTTTGATCAAATTGTTTGTATTTAGTCTCTGCTGAAAATAGAAAGTTCTGTGTGCTAGATATGTTATTTTATAATCATTATGTATTTGTTATACAGACTGTTTTTCCTGTTGAGTACATGACTGTATGGTATGAAATGGTGACAGATATTTAATATTTATTCATCCCACCCTTTTTTACCCTTCTTAATGTTATACCGAATATATTTGATATTTTAGGCATTTTTCATGCAAACTGATGATTTCTCCCTTATTGTATATACCTAACAACAATTAAGCAAACAAATTTTTTCTTAAAGCCGAGTCATGACAATATTTGTATTATACAGTTATAATTAAGGTATAAGATTTATATGGTAATTGAGGAACGGTATTAGTATTTCAAATCATGGATTTCTTAATGAGTTACATCCCTTATTGAACATAGTAAATTTCTAGTTTAAGTTTTGCGTGCAAGTTTTTATTTCAACAGTGAAGAAATTTGTTTGGAAGGACATTACATGTCTTCAACATCATTCTCTGATAGCCTCTGATCAGAGCCCATAACTCAAAGCATGGACTTGTATTGAATTATCCCACTTTCTAAGTGTCTTTGCTCTTGTTTTACTATGTAGAATATGGGAGCATGCTGTATGTTTTATAGCCAATGTTTTACACTGATTAATTTGTTATCTAGCTCACTCACTATTTCACGTCAAGCAAGCAGCACTTAGATCAGGAACATTAAACAAATTTTGTCAAAAAAGCTCAGCTTTCTGATTATTTATCACACTATGTTGGCTAAATTTATACGATGTATTGATGAATGGATTAACTTTCACAAAACTGTCTTTTCAATGCTGAAAGTTACTCTTCAGATTAAGATAGTAACTGACATATTAATGTAAAATAGATTTGCATGATAATAAAAAAAAGTTTTATATGGGGGCATCAGTGGCCTAGTGGTTATGGGGGTTGACTTCAAACCTCTTGCCCATCACCGCTGTGGGTTCAAATCCCAACAGGGACTTTGGATTCTTTCATATGAGGAAGATATCTATCTAGCTTACAGAAGGTCAATGGTTGTACTCAGCTGTCAGTTTGTGCTTGAAATAATGTACATAAAGGCACCTGAGGTCTTTCTTCACCAGTCAGGCTGGAAAGTTGCCGTATGACGTAAAACCGAACAAAACATTTTTTATATAACATTCTATGTGAATATTTTGTAGTAGAAACTCATTTGATTGTGTTCATTATCATGTTTAAACCATGACATTATTTATTTTTATTTTCATTGTTCTTTTCTTTAATATTATATTGTACACAGTGTATCAATTAAAGGCCCACCAAGTTTTACTTATTTCATGTTATAAGTGTATAGATACCTTTTAAAAACTTAAGTCTATTTATGGGAAATTTTGCATTGTATAATGGATTGCTATTAAGCTGAAATGTTATTCTAGCTATTTAGTAGGGTGTTGTACCTGAGAAATTTTCTTTAATCAAAGTAATATAATTATGCTGATTTCCTTAATCATAACTTCAAATTCACTTGTGTAGTGATTTTCTTTTCCATATGTACATTTAAATCTGTTAAAATTCAAGGACTGTATGTTTTGAATATTGAGAAATTGTGTCATTCACAACATTATTGATTTTAATTCAATTTTAATAAACATGTAAAAGAATAAGACAGTCTTCTTAGAATAAAAATAAGATATTGATTATGTAAAACTAAGGCAGTCTCTCTTACAGATGAGTAAAATGTATATGTTAGAATTTCACAGGCAGATAACTCATTTTGCTAATCATTTTTAAAGCCTGAAGTGAATTTGAACAGCCTGTGCTACAAATAAAAAGAGTCCAGTCATTCTGTGCACATGGGCAGTATAGTGAGGCCCTGTACTTCTATTAAATGATAGCTAAACAAGTCTGTTTAGGAAATTCAGCATGAGTAGGGTTAAATTATGAGGACATTTTCCAAAAATCACTTGGCATTTTTTTTGTTTGTTCCAGTCTAATTGACTATAAAACAAAGTTCCTTAAATATAACTCAAAATGGTCATCTTGGAATCAACATGAAGTCTGGCTTCAATATTCACCGTTATGTGACAAAATTATTCTCTTTGTTCAAAGCCTATCATGTTTCTTTGTTCCTGATAAGGTCATAATATATTTACACGTTTTTCCTTTGTGTGTACATCATGTAACCGAATATATTACAAACCTGCTACTGTAATTCTAGAGTTAATATTACATATTTGATTAACAGTTT